ACCCACAATGTAATGAGGACAAAGTAAAATGAAAAGTTAATGAGATCTTCTCACAGCTGGTGCTCTACCATTTGAGTCACACCTCCAGTTTTGACCTTTTTTTGCTATTTAGAGCTGAGTCACCAACTTGTCTTCCCCAACTGGCTTTGAACCGTGACCCTCAGATGTCAGCATCTGACATCTGATAAATGTGTAACCTGCTGCCCCACACAAGTATTCGTGTAATGTGAAGCACATTTTTAATGAAATTGGGGAAGATAGAGAACTCGATTCCTTACATTTACATTTGAGAAATATAAGATGGTAAAAAGAGGTGGTGCAGAAAATGATGCTTGCAGAGAGGCACAAGTCCCACTGCGAGGGAGATGGAGAGAGAAGCACAGACAGATGGAAGCACACGTTCACCGACTCTCCCAGCTCATGGTTGTGAGTCTGCACTGGTTCACCTGACTTCTTGGTCATCAACCTTACTTGTGTCATGTCTCCATTACTGTAGTACTATGAGTACTGAAATAGTGTCTGCTCTTCTGGCTGAAATCAGACCCCCCAAAGATCTCCTCCCTGCACCTCGCCCCTGCAAAAAAAAATCCTAATACACTCAACTTTTGGCTTTAGACCTGGCCATCAAGGGTTTTGTTCTGTTTATCTGGGTAGGAATAGTGCTGCCAAGTTGGGTGAGTTTTCAGAGTAAAGGTAGACCTTAGTAAACTGGCTCTGAAGTATAGAGTTACTTGTGGGTAAATGATAGGTTCCAGAATGAGAACTCTGCCCTCCCACATTTGCTTTTATATTGCTTCAGAAAACCATGGCCTCAAAAGGGTCACCTATCAAAGGCAGAAATCTTACTTAGCTTAAATAGATGTCTTGAGGGATACGTAAAATAATGCAGGTAAAACATTTGGCCCAGTACTGACTAAAGGTGAATGCTCGGGAAACCTTAGCTACATTAGCTACCCCACCCCACCCCAGGGCAGCAGGGCTTCAAGGATGACTATACCTTGGGAGATGCATGTTAGTAACCATTTCTGCTTGGCTTGGATATCATCACAGAGAACAGTGACCAAAAAAATGCTGCCCTTTCATCCCAAGGACTTTTAAAAGCAAAAGTCTAGTTGGGGCCTCAGTTGTAGAGCTCTGAGCTTATATGGCTAAGAACCTGGGTTTGGGCTTGGATGTAGCTAGCCTAGCAAGTGCAACGTCCTGGGTTCGATCCCCAGTACCAAAAAAGAAAAGACAAAAAAAATACAGTTAAACAAACAAAAGAACCTGGGTTCTATCCCCAACCACAGCATGAGGGGGTGGAGGAGGGGGAAGAAGGAGAGGGAGGGGGAAGAGGAGGGGGAAAAGGAAGAGGGGAAGGAGAAGGAGGAAGGGGAGGAAGAAGAGGGAGGAGGAAAACAGTACTGTTGTAGTCCATTTGTGCTGCTATAACAAAACACCTCAGGCTGGGAGATTTACAATGAAATTTATTTCTCACATTTTTGGGAGTTTGGGAAGTCCACAATCAAAGTGCTGCAAAGGTTTGCTGTCAAGGTGTTGAGGTTACTTCCAAACAGCATCTTGTTGGCTATCCTGAGAAGGGACAAAAGGACAAAAGGACCAAATGTTAAGTGAAGCCTGTTGGAGGCAACAATGATGGATAAGAAATGTACTCATTACCTTGCTCCTCATGTAATTCTAACCCTTCTGTACGGTATTTTCACACACACAAAAAAAGACCCTAACTAAATCACTTCCTTCAGATCTCGCCTCCTAATACTGTTGCATAGACTAAGTTTTGACATTCAGATCCTGACAACTGCCACACTTTGTTTCCTAATTCCTCTCTGAAGGTGGCTCCCTTTCAAGCCTATTGGCTTGATCCAAGAGGAGAAATCTGAATCTAGGAAACAAGGCTGCTCCAGGCTCCAAGCCACTCAGTGGGACTTGAGAAAAGTTCCATTTAGAAATACACGAGGTGCTCTGTTAACAGATTCACAAAAGTCTCCGAGTGTGAAGGCTAAGTGTTAGAAGGGCTTACCAATGTAGATCTCATCATTCAGCTGTAGAGACAGAAGCCGGGTGAGTAGGGGAATTGCCCACGTTTCACAACAGAAACTGATCTCAAAGCCCAGACCAGACTCCTCATTCAAATTCCTCAGTCAATTCCCCGCTTCTCCACCCCTTCTATGCTGCAGACCTGCTGTTCACACATCTATCACTGATGGGACATAAACTCAGGACTGCCAAGGAATTCCATCCACATAGGGACCAGGGGGTTGACATGTCTGGGTAAAAGGATGGTTAAATGAGACAAAAAAAAAAAAAAACAACATTAAAACTCCTCTCAGCACGTTTGCTTAGGTTCAGCTTCTTGCCCTGCAAGGTGAGGTGTGGATGGCTAGAAAAGGGAAGGCAGACCCTTCTGCTCAGCCAGCCAGCAATTCCTGAATTTTCTCCCCTTTCTCCTACTATTGTGAACCTCAGTAAGCCATTTCCTCCAGCCTTGGTGACATTCCACAAGCTCCTTTTCTCACAAAAGTCTGAGTTAATTAAATGTGAGAAGTTTGTTTTGTGTTGTGTTGCAGGGAATTGCATGATATAAAATGTCCAGGATAAGGAAACCTTAGAAATCATTCATCTAGACTGATTCAGAAAGGACATCATAGGCATGCTCACACCTAATCTTTTTCTCTAGGGTAGCATTGACTTGCACAGCTTGTAGGAGTTTCATTATGTGCATAATTACCCCCTTTCTCCTTCACACAAAGGTCCCTTGACAATAATTATATAACCTTCTTGGTCTTTTTTTATTTTTAATGTTCCCTGCTTGACAGCCAAATCTATGGGACTCTATCTATTTGATGCTTTCTAATTTTTAATTATTTTGAGACTTAGGCAATCTAAAGCTTGAGTAGATTTAGTAATAGTAACACTTTGCATGCCACTACTGAAACTGCCATCTCTGAGGTCAGGTATGACATCTAATCTTCCAACTCAAAGAAACTATCTCTCCAGTTTAAAGGAAACCTGGGGAAATGGATGGAGCTAAAAAAATTTTTTTTGTTGTTGCTAAGTGAGGTAAATTAGGCTCTGAAAGAGAAATGGCTCGTGTTTTCTCTCATATGTGAATTTAAATCTAAATTATAAACATATGAAAACATTCAGGGATGGATGGATAGATGATAGATTATAGATAGATAGATAGACAGACAAACAGACACAAAGATGGCAGAATATGTCCACCACACCATCCAGCCTTCTGATGGAATTCCATCCTATTTTCCTCTTTGGGCTTCTGCACACCTGTTCTCTTTCCATGGCGAACTTGTCTTCTCCTCTTCCGTCCCCTGTAAGTAAAAGTGCATCTATCCTTAGCTACCCAGAGCTCAGGATCGCAACTAGGCCACTCCATCCTCCTTGCCTCTTGCCACCAGCCCCCTCCAAAGGAAGCAGTACTTTCTCACCTTCCCCCTCACCCCTACACACACATATCCTCTACATCTGCCTTTGTCCCTCTTTGTGAGCCCTCCACAGCTAGTTTTCTTTCAGCCAGAAATAAACTCTCACCCCTCCTCTGCACTCTTATCTCTGCCCTCAAGACAAATTTTCAGTTTGATGTAATGAGCATGTGTATGTGTCCTCACTGGCTCCAAGCTCCCTGAGGCTCTCAATACAGGCCTCCACCACAATTGATCTTTGCAAGGTAAGTATTTGTTAAATAAATGTGTGTGACACTTCCTGCCTGATGTTGTTCATTTGTATCTGACGTCATATCTGTTTCTCAAAGAAAATCTGCAAGACGAGCACAAACATTCTTTTTATAAGTGAAAATGAAAGCCCAGGGGCTGGTGGCTCAAACCTACCAGCATAGCTACTTGGGAGGCTGAAATCTGAGGATCAAGGTTGGAAGCCATCCTGGGCAAGAAAATCCAGGTGACTCTTATCTCCAATTAACCACAAAATAGACAAACAAAACCCCTGCAAGTGGAGATGTGGCTCAAGTGTAGATGTGGCTCAAGTGGTAGTGTTAGCCTTGAGTAAAAAAGCTCAGGGACAGTGCCCAGGCCCTGAGTTTAAGCCTTCAGGACTGGCACCAAAATAAATCGATAGTTTATGTAAGTAAATTAACTTAAATGAATAAATTAGAAAAATAACGAACCAAGAGAGTCAAAAAAAAAGGGGGGAATCAAAGATGTAACCACAGACAGTGGAAAATCTGGAACATAGCCTAGGTCCCCCCCCCCTTTCTCTTTTGTAGGTCGTGGGGCTTGAACTCGGGGCCTGGGTGCTGTCCCTGAGCCACAGCGCCATTTCTGATTTTCTGGTGGTTAATTGGAGATAAGAGTCTGATGGACTTTCCTGCCTGGGCTGGGTTTGAACCGTCATCCTCAGATCTGTTTCCTGAGTGGTTAGGATGACAGGGGTGAGCCACCAGTACATAGCTAAACCTAGGCCTTTAAATAACTGCCATTGCCCCCATTAAAGCGTGGTGTCATTAAGCCCTAGAAAACAGTGGAGATCATGTAGGTCATTTTGGATTCTAACGGATTAAATCAGTCTTTCCGGCTCCGTGCCAGCTGATCGCTGAGACTGGGCTGATTTGCTCCTCGAGTGATTAACGAATAACTAGAAGGAAATCGGATGCAGCAGCTCGGTTCTGATCTGGGGCTCGTATTGCCGCCGGGGGGGGGGTGGCGCCCCGGGGTCCCCGCCTCCCCCCCCCATTTCTTTCCTTCCCCAAAGCACCTTGCACATGGACGAAAACACGACCCTCAAAGCCCCGCACGCCAAGACCTTCCAATGACCCCCAGCCCGGCGGACCGGCCCGGCGGCCGGGCGGCGTCCCCGCGGGCGCGCTCCGGGCCCGGCCCCCCGGCCCAGCCCTCCCGGGGGGTGGGGTGGGGTGGGATCGGGGCGGAGCCCGCACCTGTGGCCGGTTCAAAACCCTCCCTCCCCAGCGGGATCGGGCCCCCGCCCCGGGACTTCCCCGCGAGCCAGGCCTCGGCGCGCCCCGGGCTGCTCTCCCCGCGCGCCCCTGGCCATGGCGGCGCCGCGGCGCCTCCTCATCCGTGGGGGCCGCGTGGTCAACGACGACGCCTCGCAGGTGGCCGACGTGCTGCTGGAGGACGGCGTGGTGCGCGCGCTGGGGCGCGGCCTGGGGGGCTGCGGGTGCTCGAGGCCGCGGGCCTGCTCGTGCTGCCCGGCGGCATCGACACGCACACGCACATGCAGTTCCCCTTCATGGGCACCAGGGCCGTGGACGACTTCTACCAGGGCACCAAGGTACCCGCCGCGCCCGCCGTGCAGTCGGGGGGATCCGGCCGGAATCTAGGGGGTCACCGCGTGCGCCACGCCGAGGTCAACCTGGGTGTCCCGGTCAGGGGCTCCGGCCTTTGGATAACTTGGCAAGGTGGAGGCATTCTCTCCTCTTCTATCATCAGTGCCCTCCGCCCCAAGCCTGAAACCCCCTGCTGGGTGTTCTGCCCAAGTCCACAGGACTTCCGTAAGATCTATAGAATCTCTGTCTCTGTCTGTCTGTCTGTCTCTCTCTCTGTCTTGGTATTGGGCTTGAACTCAGGATTTGGTCTTCTAGTACTTGAGCCACAGCTCCACTTCCATTTCTTTCTTAATTTTATTTATTTTTGTGGTTAATTGGAGATAAGAATCCACTGACTTGCCTGCTCTGGCTGTCTTACAACCCTGATCGTCAGATCTCAGCCTCCGGAGTAGTTAGGATTACAGAGGTCCAGCTTAGAATTTATTTGTTGCCATTTCTCCCGGGCCTCCCTCCCAGCTATTCACTTAGGAGATACTGGCCGGGACTGTGGACTAAAGCATCTATGCCCTCATCTCCATCCAGCCCCTGGAGGAAGAAATGCAGCAGATCCATGAACGCCCTCCAGACCTAACTGGTGACCTGGTCCCGCCTCTCCTCCCCGTGCTGGACCCAGGGCCCTCCGTGCGGATCCCCGTCCTGGCAGCCTGAGTTCTGTGGGCATTAATGAGGGTGCGGGAGGCCTGGCAGATCGGGGTTCCAGCTGAGGGAGGCTGCCCAGAAGCAATGGGAGGACCTTGGGAGATTGACAGCTGGGCAGCTCTGCGGGTGCAGCAGGCTAAAGCTCACCGGCTCAGCTCGAGGCCACGCCCACCGCATTCTCTAATTCAGCTCCTTGGGCAGCCTTGAGAGAAATGGCTTCTTCCCAGGATGTATTGATTTCCTATGGCTGGGGAGCAGGTGTGAGGTTTCCAGAGAACGTCGCCTTAAAGTGTGAACACAATCAGGCTGCATAGACCAGTAGTAGATGGACCAGTCTTCCAGAGTAGTGGGAATGATCCTTACTTAACTTAGTCTTGAATTCCAACCGTTTTACGTTTTACTCTCTTCACCCGTCTTCTCCATTCCTTCCCTTCCCCAGTCCTTCATGGCAGACCCCAAGGTTGAACAGAAAGAAGAAAGACAGGTAGATTTGACGCCAAGAGGACAAGCTGCCCAAACCAGCATTTGGAACGCGCCTTCCTAGTTACTTATTCACAGGTCTCCTCAGGTCAATACAGTCTTTTTTTGGAGGACCAATTACTGTCTGTCTGCTTTCAAAATCAGAAAACTTTGTTCCTCTACTAAAACATAGTGAACTCATTGTTTGCATTTGAATTGATCACTGTTAGGCCAACTCACAATTATATAGATAAGTAGAAAATAACAGAAAACTAGAAAGAAGAAAAATAGTCCCTTTACAAGATTCTTCTGTTAAACAACCACCAATGTTTGTTTGTTGTGGTGGTGGGGTTGGTGGGGCTTGAACTCTGGGCCTGGGTGCTGTCCCTGAGCTCTTCAGCTCAAGGCTAGTGCTCTACCACTTGAGCCACAGTGCCACTTCCAGTTTTCTGAGTGTTTTATTGGAGATGAGCGTCTTATGGGCTTTCCTGCCCAGGCTGGTTTTGAACCATGATCCTCAGATCTCAGCCTCCTTAGCCTAGGATTACAGGTGTGAGCCACCAGCGCCCGGCTACCACCAATGTTTTGTTGCGTTGCCTTTATGATTTTTAATTGTGTGTATGTACGTGAATATGTGTATATGTAAGTTTTGTTTGTTTGGTTTTTTGCTGATAGTTGAGTATTCCCTTGAACACTCCCTTTTGCAAGATAGGCAGCAGATATTCCTGCCCCTCAATTGTCAGGCCCAGCAGCCTCCTCGGAGATTCCTCTCCTTCTGATCTCTTCCGCCCCCACCTGCGTTTCCATCCAGATATAGGAGCAGTTGGAGTGCTACCTTGGGCATACCTTCACTTTTTCAGGGTCAGCTGTATGGTGTATGGTGTTGAGATCTAGTTGGAAACTTTCTGTTCCTTGGCCATTTCTGGAATTGTTCTAGCATAGAGAAGTGTGTAGTTCCTTCCTGAGAAGGTGGCCCTTGTGGTAAGTGATGGTCTGTTGTCAACATGTGATCCATCAGCTGATTCTCTAGCATTTCTAGTTTCACTGATGGTCAAAGCTGTAAACAAAAGGGCCTACTCTGTGCCCTTAGGATCTGAAGCAGGAAATGATAAGATCAGAGAGTTGTAGGCTGTTGGTTTAGCTAGTACAAAATTCCTGGGAATTACTTGATTGGATCTCAGGAGATAATGACTCCACCCTCCCTCCTCCCCTCTCCTCCAGAAACAGATGAGACTCCCTAGGGAAATAAGTGTAAATGCACTGGAACACTGGCCTGCTGGCTGAGTTCTGAAAGGAGGGAACCATGGAGTTCTTTTGACTTCTTTCCTAGTTTTTCCAATAATTCTCAGGGATATTGTTGGGTCTCTGGTTTGAGAAATTAGACACATTGGTGTTTTTGTTTTCCACTGGTTCTTGAAACTTGCCAAGTATTTTCTTTTTCTGTTGTGAAAAAAACCATACAGAGGGGTTACAATTACATGGGCAAGGTAATGAGTACATTTCTTCTCAAGCATTATTGCCTCCTCTTTGTTTCCCCTTCCCATCCCACCCCCCAAAAAAGTTGTAAAGTTCGTTTTTCAACATAACCAAATGTTTTCTTATTAACATGGTGAAGTAGCATTTATTGTATCAAGTGTCTGCTACATACCAGCCATTACACTAAGTTGTACATAATCTTCCTACAACTCCATGTGACACTAGCTGTCTTTGCAACAAAGGAAATTGAGACAAGTTACTGTCTAAGGGTGCACATTTACTAAGTGAGGTTTTCAAATTTGGCCTTATCCGACTCTGTTAATAAAGCTCTTACCTATTAGGCCCTATGGCTTTGAAAAACACCTGGTATTCAGATGTTTTAAAAGGGAAAAATGATAGACAAGGAAGCTATATGCATTGCATGTTAATGGAAGATGGATTTCTCAAACATAAAGTAGTCATCTTCAGCAAATACAGAAGCCTCTTGCCTTTCCCAAACTGGAAACAGTTAAGGTTATCAAAATAAATAGATATCACAGGTATTATATTAGTATGGCACTGGTACATTCATTTATAGTCACATCATCTCCAAGGGTACCTTATATACAGAAAGCCATAAAGTAAAATTGATACATCTCGCTTTCAGGAGATGGCCCTTGAAAGGTTAAACCAATAGCTATTTGCTTTCAGCAAGCACCAGGCTGATCATTTATAATATCTGACAAATAGAAAGGATATTGTTTGTGGTATTCTGTTTATTGATTACTGGACTGTGATGGGACCCAATTTTAAAAAATGAAACACAGGTCAACCAAAGGTTACTTATTTTGTCAATCTAATTCATGTCAGACATTGGTTTAAAGCCTGTAATGGATTTACTTAATTACAGGTAAAAGCTTTCTATCTGATATAACTAATGGAAATTGCATTCTGCTTGAAAGAAATCATATTTCATTTTGTTCTTCTAATATGGCCTATACAGTGGTCTTCCAATAATTCAATATCCATGAGGAGGGACAATGTAATTTCTAATTCAGTGGGAATTGTGAATTCGATAAACTTGAAGGAATTTGGACTTTGCTTTTACCACAAAAGAGCACAAGTTATGAGTTCAGCAAGTTTCACATATATATATATATATATATATATATATATATATATATATATGCATGCACACACACAAACAGATGTATTTAGTTGTGCATAGTCTGAAGTGGACTCATATTGAGAACCCAGCAGTGTTGGTAACAGGCAGTGGGATCATCTGTTAACAAAACAAACAAGCCAACAAAAGACATGCAGCATCTCCCCCTCCCCCCCCCTTTTTTTGGTTAGGGACAGATTTCTCAAAATTATTGATGAAGGAAATTATATTTTGCTTTGGAACTTTTTGGTGGCTATTCCCAAGGCATGCACCTAAGCCACATCGGTGATTGTATGTGCAGAGTTTTCTCACCTTTTGGAAGGACTTTGCTTCAGAACCTCAAAATCCCTTTTGCTGTTGCTCTCCAGGGCTGGCTTCAGTGAAGAGCTTGGTGGCTGAGCTGGTTTACAGGATTCTCAGCATTCCCTTATCTAGGAAATGAGGCACTGGTTGGATAAACAATTCAAAGAAATACTGTTAAAAGTTATATAAATAAAACAGAAACAAAAGTCCTATAAAGGACAAAGATTATATAAATAACAAAATACAGGTGGGATGGTCGTGCCTGTCATCCCGGCTACTTGAGAGTCAGAGGTTAGAGGATCTTGGTTCCAGGCCAGCCCAGCCTCATCTTGATATAAATATGAGACCACACTTTTAGGTAAGTGACAGCATGCTATAGCTTCCTTTATAAAGCTCATTACTCTATTTGTTATTAATGCATGCTGACAGCGGCTCAAGTGGTAGAGTGCTAGCCTTGAGCAAAAGAAGCCCAGGGACAGTGCCCAGGCCCTGAGTTCAAGTCCCAGGACTGGTAAAAAACAAAAAATATTAATACATGCTGACAGATATGAGTCAGCTGCATGTATCGTATCAGTTATATTATAGTAGTCCAGTGAAAGTACATTACAATGGGCTAGATGTTCGGTGATGAACTTTTAGATTTCTTCCTATTCTTAAAATATCGGAGTCTAGATCAAGCTCTTGCTTATAATGCCAGCTGTTAGCAGGCCCAGATGAGGCCAGCCAGGGCAACAATGTTATTGAGTCTCTATCTCAACCAAATAACCCAAAGAGAATGGTACTTGCCCATAAAATTAACTACAAGGATACCATAGATAAGAGCAGCACTGTCAGAGGCTGACCTTAGGTGAAAATGCAAAACAGTATCTAAAAAAAAAAAAATGAAGAAGCAAAAAGAACTGGGTATGTGGTTCAAGTGATAGT